ACCCCAAAAAGGAAAAGCCCCCTTGAAAAACCCCCTTAAAAAAAAGGGGGGGGGGGTTTTCCCCCCCCCGGGGGGGGGTTTTTTTCCAGGGGGGGCCCCGGGGGGAAAAAAGGGAGGGCCCAAATTCCCCCCCCCCCCCCCCCCCCCGTGCCTCTCACCTGAACGCTTCGTAGTAGATGGGCCCGTACCAGGGAACGTGCGTCATGAGGTACTTGAGAACCTTGCGAGCGACGTCGGTGTTGCCGGACCGGGCCTCGAGGAGCGCGCCTTCCAACACCGTCCGCCAAACCTTCAACAGACACAGGAGGACAAAAGAAAAAGAGCGATAGCGGCAGCAGCAGTGGCGTGCGGGAGGGGTCGATCAAACGCGTTTGAGCGGCAGCACGAGAGAAGCTTCGCCAAAAGTCGAATATCGGCGGCGTGTGTGTTTTTGACTACAGCCGTGCCCGCTGAAACTCATACAACTCAGAACCATGGTGCCCCGCACAATGCCAAAACAATAGGGGGGGAGGGTACAACTGTATCGACCGTATCGACACGTTCTTGGGGGGAAAATGATGAGCGTCGTCGTAGCGGCGACGACTGCTGTACCGCAAAGTTGCGGCCGAACACACACAGGTGTGTCATCAGTCTACTCGTATCCATTGTACGTCACCACCTTTGCGAGGGGTGTCAAGGTTTGACCAGGTGAGGTGCTGTGATTGGCGGATCGCCAAGCCTCCCCGTTTCGAGTTTCTTTTTGTCATGTTCCCCACCAGACCCGATGTTTGCCTCCCCCTCCGTCCTCTCGAGGATGCGTGGTCGATGGTCTAACATACAAGAACAACAACACGAGTACGTCCCCCCGCCGCCCCCGCCGCCCGCCTCCTTCTATCCTTCCGCCGAAGCTCACGTTCTCGATCCCGACATGCTTGAGGCGGCTGAGCAGCTCCCTCGCGCCGTCGAGGTTCCCCGCCCTCTCCTCCTGCTTTACGGCCTTGATCAAAAGCGTCTCCGAGTACTCGCAGAACGTCAACCCCCTCCGAAGGATTTGAGAACACCTGGCGTTCGCCGGGACAATGCAAGAGGTGAACAGAGCAGTGTTAGTAGCCTGCGAACAACAAGCCAGAACGAAAGCCACACACGGTGGTGGAAAACCGCCCTGTGCTGCAGGCTAACTTTTTTAGAAACCGAAATGAAAACATTAGCCTACTTGTATCAGAGGCTGACTAGTCCGATGGCTTGATTTTGGCGTCTGAAAGACCTACAGCGAAAAATGCGGACACGGGATGTATACAGAATCAGCAGCAGCCTCCACCGAGAACGCTGCACATCCGCGGTGGACCAACACCACCAGAAAAAGCAAAAAAAAAAAAAAAAAACACACACACGGCATTACCTGCTGAGGTCGCCAAACTCTTCCTCCAGCTTGCAGTACTCCACCCACCCTTGGGAGGCGAACGGCTGCATCTTGGTCACCTGCATTACGTCACCCCAAGACAGGACGGTCGGATCGAACCAATCAAGCACGAGCAAGAGCAAGCACAAGGGAAAGGGCAAGGACAAGGACAAGAGCGATGGCGAAACAGACGCCCCGGGGGGGGGGAGGGGGCAACCAACCCTTCGAGCCGACGATGCATCAAGCAACAACCGGAGCCCACACAAGGCAGCCCGCCCGCCCGCGCGAGTTGTCTCTTGTCTCTCGGGGAGTGCAAGCGCAAGCACGCGCGAGGGGGGCCACAAAAGAGAGCGCCGCCCCCTCCGACACAACACAACACAACACAAGACCTACACACGCTCCTTTCTGCAGAGAAGGCAAGGCAAGGCAAGGCAAGGCAAGGCAAGACAAGGCAAGACAAGGCAAGACAAGACAAGACAAGACAAGGCAAGACAAGACAAGACAAGACAAGACAAGAGCACACACTCGCCTTTCTGTAAAGCTTTCGAGCCTCCACAAAACGGTTCTCCCTCCTCGCCAGGTCGGCTATCTCCAAGTAGAGCCTCCAGTGCACCTGTTCGTAACAAGCCAAAACAGACAGACGCGCCAACAAAAAACAACAATAAAAAATCGCATCACGAAACAACCAAAACAGGGGGGATTTGACAAAACGCGGGACATATTTACCACAGGCCGATCAGGAGAAAAATGGGGAAAGGTTTGTTTCGGCGCGGGGTGCACCGCCTAACACGTGTACAGTAGAGGTTCCTGTTCAGTGCCAGTTGGTTGAATAGTGCCGGTGTTTCCGGGTAGCACACACGGAATTTCCAAGTCGTTCTCAATACTTCGAGTAGTGCGGGTCCGGTATGGCGCCGGTGAATTGTCTGGGCACATCCCAGCACCAATGAGTCGCGGTCAAGCTTTCGGCTAAGAATTGGGTTCGAGAGCGAGACTGACAGGTGCTACGATGCGTGCGTGCGGCTGGAGTTGGGGTTGGGGTGTTAACCTTGGGGCGTCCCGTTGCACATTGATAAACAGCGCCCCCCCTTTCCGCCCCCCCAAGACAGACCCTCCGAATGTTAACATACCTTAACCGGCAACATCTTGAAGCACTCCATCGCGAACACCTTGGCTGCGTGGAAGGAGGTCTTCTCCTTCGCGCGGAACGCGCGGTAAAAGTCCTGAAAGTGCCGGTTGGGGAGGGTGGGGTGAAATGTTACAATAGAAAAAATACTCGGAGTACTCACAAATTTGAGCGCATACATATCCGCTGTGGGATACGATACCCACACCTTATCCCTTTTCATGTGGGGTTATTGAAAAAAAAAAAATGAAGCACGTTTCTCGACAATTTGAACGGTGTGCGTTCGGCGGCGGGAATCCACCTTTTAGACGAATTGAATCAACAAAAATTGACCCATTTCGCGAAACCAACCACTCGTGTGTCAATTTGAGGGCAGGGAGATGTATGGTCTGCAACAACAACAACAAAAAAGGAAGGCGCGGGGGTTGCAAGGTCGTGACAAAGGGTTGACTGACTTACCACATACCAAACGAGCCAGAATAGTCAAAGGGCTGACAAATACATGAAACTACAAGGGCAACCGACGAGGCTTGTTTCTTTTTTTTTTTGTTCACCGACCTTAAAGGCGAGCCTCGTCGTTGGCGACTCCACCAGCTCCGCCCGCTTCACTTGCTTCTCGTCCATCGACGGAGCGGGGACAGGGATCATTGCCGCTCCCCCGCCGCCGGCCCCGGCCCCGCCACCGCCACCGCCACCGCCACCACTGCCGCTGCTGCCGCCCGGGTGGTGCATCAAGTGCGCGTGGTGGATGTGATGTCCCTTCACGGGGGTCTGGTGCTGTAGGTGGCGGATCGGGGGGGGGGGGGGGGGGGGGGTGAGTGGTTCCAAAAAAAAAAAACTCAATTTGGTTAAAAAATTTAAATAAAATTTTTTTTTTTTCCCCCTTTCCCTTTTTCACATTTTTTAACTTTTCCCCCATAAAAAAAAAAAAACACCCCCTAAACAACTTGGAAAAAAAAAAAAAAAAATAAATATTTCGAAAAACTTTTCCCATTTTTTCTTTTTCCAAAATATTGAAAAAAACCCTCCCCGGTTTTTAAGCCCTTTAAAAATTTTACGGGTTCCCCCTTATTAAAACTTAAAAAAAATTATTTTAATTCTTTCAAAAAACCACAAACCCCAAAGGATTACCCCATAAAAAAAAAAAAACCCCCAAAAAATTTCCCCACAACCACAACAACAACAACAACAAAAAAGGACTTTATAAACCCAAAGAACCTTCCTTTTTTTACTTTCCCAAAAAAAAACCCAAACCTTCCTTGTTTTTGTTGTTCTTGGGCCCCTAAATTCCCC